TCGTCCTGGTTGTGGTATTCCTGGTCGAGCTGGTCGTCAAGGTCTCCTGGCCTTCTCGTGGCCCCAGGTGCAAGTGGGGCTCTCCACTGTTAAGGATTTGCGCTGGCACAATATTCATTCAACAGTGTGTGTGTGTGTGTGTGTTTTTGTTGTATGTGTACTTGCACGTGCATGTGCAGGGGTGTGTGCATGTAGTTGTGTGTGTGTGTATTGTCTATTATATACACATATGTAGATATGGGCTTATGCATGCATGGTGTTCGTACACAAACGCGCTCTAACTTCTATCTTGCTGTGTGTCTACGGCGATAAGGCCATGTGAGTACACGAACAGATATGATTCTAAGAATACATCTGGAGAGTCAGTCGCACACACATGCGCACATGCAAATACGCACATGCATCCGTTTTTCCTCTTCAGCAGTCCTCAGAGGACTTGGACCCAAACTGAGCAAGCAGCAGTACTGCACTGCATAGGAACAACTGCTGATAGTCCCAGCCCCGCTGCGACAAGTTGCAGCCCACGGACGGTGAAGTGGGCAATACATGCAGACATCCATACATGGATGCACATACATTTCTGTGCATATATATATATATATGTATACGTATCCGCCGACCCCTGCGGGCGGCGCCCGTGATATCCCGAGAGGTGTCCGCACCCACACCGCTTCCACCGCCTCCACCGCTCTGTTAAAAGAGTCTTTCACCGCTGTTATACGTGTTTAAAGAGTATGTAAAGGCTGCCAATGTGTGCCCGGACCTCTCCGCGCCCCCAGTGCCCCCACCGCCCTCACCGCTCTGTTTAAAGAGTCCTTCACCGCTGTATCTGTAGGTGTTTAAAGAGTATATAAGAGTATTTAAAGGCTGCCAATGTGTGCCCAGACCCCTCCGCGCCCACACCGCCCCTACCGCCACCGCCGCCCTTTTAAAAAGTATTTAAAGGCTGCCAATGTGTGCCCGGACCCCCCCGCGCCCCCACCGCCCACACCGCCCCCACCGCCCACACCGCCCTCACCGCCCTCACCACCCCCACCACCTTCATCCCCCTCCACCGCTTTCACCGTTAAAGAGTAAAAAAAGTATTTAAAGGCTGCCAATGTGTGCCCGGACCCCCCCGCGCCCTCACCGCCCACACCGCCCACACCGCCCACACCGCCCACACCGCCCTCACCGCCCTCACCACCCCCACCACCTTCATCCCCCACCACCGCTTTCACCGTTCCCACCGTCTCCACCGCTCTCACCGCCCGCTGTATTTGTAGGTGTTTAAAGAGTATATAAGAGTATTTAAAGGCTGCCAATGTGTGCCCGGACCCCCCCGCGCCCTCACCGCCCACACCGCCCACACCGCCCACACCGCCCTCACCGCCCTCACCACCCCCACCACCTTCATCCCCCACCACCGCTTTCACCGTTCCCACCGTCTCCACCGCTCTCACCGCCTGCTGTATTTGTAGGTGTTTAAAGAGTATATAAGAGTATTTAAAGGCTGCCAATGTGTGCCCGGACCCCCCCGCGCCCCCACCGCCCACACCGCCCACACCGCCCCCACCGCCCACACCGCCCTCACCGCCCTCACCACCCCCACCACCTTCATCCCCCTCCACCGCTTTCACCGTTCCCACCGCCCGCTGTATTTGTAGGTGTTTAAAGAGTTTAAAATAAGTATTTAAAGGCTGCCAATGTGTGCCCGGACCCCCCCGCGCCCTCACCGCCCACACCGCCCACACCGCCCACACCGCCCACACCGCCCTCACCGCCCTCACCACCCCCACCACCTTCATCCCCCTCCACCGCTTTCACCGTTCCCACCGCCCGCTGTATTTGTAGGTGTTTAAAGAGTAAAATAAGTACTTAAAGGCTGCCAATGTGTGCCCGGACCCCACCGCGCCCCCACCGCCCTCATCCCCCTCCACCGCTTTCACCGTTCCCACCGCCCGCTGTATTTGTACGTGTTTAAAGAGTAAAATAAGTATTTAAAGGCTGCCAATGTGTGCCCGGACCCCCCCGCGCCCCCACCGCCCACACCGCCCACACTACCTTTATTGTCCTCACTGCCCGCCCCGGCCTTGCGATGCGCCGCCGCGCGCGCGCGACTTTTTTGTCGTACCATGTCGTACCATCCCATGGCCACAACTGCACTGGCTCCGTATCTTAAGCATATCGAATACAGCCTTCCGGCTAAACGCGGTTTTGTGCGGATGCCTTTTGCCTCTGAGTCACAAGGTTGCTGAAACATGCGCACACAATGTCCGAGAGCTGAGCACTGCGTCAGTCCGAATACTTCGCCGCATCAGTCATGTGCTCATGCTACTCGTGCCAGTTACAAGACTTGCAGTTGGCTGCTTTCAACACCTGCTGCGTTCCTTGGATAGTCACCTCTCTTCTTTTGGGGTCGGCGGCAGTGGCGGCAGCCCATAAATATATTATTCAGGTACACAAGACTCTTTCACCCATCTATGTAAACGCAACTTGGCAAGCAAGGCAGGCATGCGAGGCAATGAGGAGGTGTTGTCGAGGCTGCCACCTCCCTTCCCCCAAAAGCTTGCAGCTGGTCGAAGGTCAACGGGAGCAGCATCCGATTGGGTAAGTTCCAGAACCAGAAGTAGGCCATGAGAAGGTGGAAGCCGAGCCTCTGCAATTCTGTGCTACTAGTACTCGGGTTCCCAAACAATCCGACCGAACTCCTAAGCATCCGAGGCGCCACTCTCCGATCCATCCTGGAGCAGGAGCGCCCTTCACCACCGGGCAGCCGTTGTGTGCGACCACCTGCTCAGCAGATCTTCCGAAAGAAATCCTGAGCTATCCTTTCTCGTTTTCCTTTCTCGAAAGGGCCGACCTTGCCCAGTTTGGCAGCCGCCGATATTCGCACGAGGAGAACCCCCTGCGCAAAGTTCCCGGCAGCGTGTCGGTGCGCCACTACATAGGGCACCTGATTGTCAACGAGTGGTCACGACGGGACTCCAACGGGACCACCAGAGAAGAACTGACAAATTCAGTCCAGGCTACGTGGCTTGGGACAAAGTTGCCGTAGACACTGTACAAGGCGTGTGCCAAAAGGAAGGCAGCCATAGCCGGATGGATTTTGGGAACGTCGTGCCATTGCAAGCCCATGGGGCCGCCTCCCAAGGTGACCCGGCTGGGACTCGGGGATACTTTGGGGTCAAAGGGATCACTGACATGTCAGGCTTTGCCCCTTGCCCCACACCGCCTACAGCAGGCCCATAGCATCCGAAAAGGAAGATGTACAACAAGGCATCCACGAAGTTCCAGGTGAAGACCTCGAAATCACCCATGGCCGCACAAGATCGCAGAAGCCTGCAAGAAGTCTTGCTTGAGGCCCCTGCATCCACGATAAGCGTAGAGATGATATAAAGGTGCATGCAGCAGATGAAGATGATGCCGAAGGTCACCACCGAGTCGCTGTTCGAGAGCACCAACATCGGCCCCAGAGTCTCGCTGACTGCACAGGCGGCCGAGAAAACCGTGGCGGCCCGGGTAAGGTGGTAATCCGGATCCGAGTCTTTGTATCCTGGAGTCTGGGAACTTTATGGGACTTTCGGGAATGTGGGTGAGCCTGGAGGACATGGCATGTGCAGGCTAAAAAAGGGGAGCGGTCTGCTGGTCCTTTGTACATGACCCGCCGATACCAGTCGGACCAAGGCATGCTCACCATGTACTTCGCAGACCAGAGGTTGCTAACGTTCAAGTACTTGAACCATGGCCCGATCTTGCACCTGACTGGCTCAGCTGCGACGCATTGACTCATGGCGTGTTGCAGGTCTCACTTGCATTAAGGACAGGGCCAACCAGAGCACAAGTAAAACCTCGGCAGGAGGCGCAGACCAATGGCATCTGCTGTCAACATGGACGGCTCGATCTTGTCACTGAGTCTGCTGCCAGGTCATGAACAGCTGCAGGCCCGCGACTTGACCCTGCTCCACTGTGAAGCACATGCAGAAGAAGCAGTACATCGTTTGGGTACCGTATGTGTGCATATGCTGCCCGTAGTCGAAAAGGAACTCATAGATCCTCAGTGGGCAACAGAAGAGCTTCGACCATTCAGCATCGTGAGCACCCAACAGCACTGGCAGACAGGGCTCAGACAGGCCGTTAACGGCCACATCAGTGCAGGAGTGACTTCCGGGGACACAAGCACGCGAACCGTCAGCATGTACATCAAAACACCCTCCACGAGCACGTCCAAATAGTTTCTGCGGTTTGGCAGACAAGGAAGGAAGGGGGCATTGTACTTCATGGTGCCAACGGTCCATCGATACCACCAGTCTTGAAACGGCGGATTCACTTTGGCATGCATTGGTCCCGAGATAACACCAAGCCCAAGAGCTTCCCACATGTTCCAGAACACGAGGAGCTTTTGCACCAATGTCAGCCACGGAATGCCTTCATGCATGGGCGTGGTGAGAGCTGCAATCCCGAAGTAGATCACCATGAAGACCAGGACCATGGTCCAATGCCATGCCATTACCGCGTAATTAATGCCAAGGCCTACATTGGCATCAAGTATGTGGGCCGCTCCCACATCTGTCTTGAGAAGAAGGTCTTTGCCCTTAACCGTGGCCTCGTCGGGAGGGAATCGCGCCCCACGAGAAACTGCATAAATGGAAGAGATGTCGAACTGTGTGCCCAAGTTCCGCCACCACACAGGTGCCATGCTGCAAGCAAACCTTGGCTTCGCAGGAGTCGGACGTGCATCTGCATTTTGTCCTTCCCACCTAGCAAGGACGAAGCCCGCATTGCAGGGAATCTTGGTTTTTGAACGGTTGGAAAGCAGCTACGATTTCATAGCTGATTTTCACACTCCGAGGCGATGAGTGACTTGTTGACTCTTCACCCAGAGTTGACAGTGCCGGGCTTCCAGTGGTGTTAACTTTGTAAGCCTCAAGTTCGTCCCTCTCAGGTGTACTCCCCTAATTTCATGTCCATCCTCTTAGCACTAGGATCTTCACAACCGGGATCCACAGTCAAATCTTGGTTTTGAATGCAAAATTCAGTGCGGCAAAATGCCGTCTTGATCCTTATCCCGACTGTATTGCTGTAAACCTTCTGACGCTTCCATGCAAGCAGGACAGATCGGGCAAGCTCCCCCACACTAGGAAGTGTCTTATCTAATTTTGGGTCGCACCGTAATCGCACCACCCCCTGCTCCAGAGTTCCAGATTAATTACACACATAAGCGTGCGTGTACGAAGTATGAACGACCAAAACTACCTACACATAACATAACTAACGAAGCGTATAACAAATACACAGCATGGACACGTCCAGAATGTGTGTGCATGCACATATAGTAATATATACGACTCTATATATATATATATATATACAGAGAGAAAGAGAGAGAGAGAGAGAGAGAGAGAGAGAGAGATGTCTGGTGACTGGTGGTGGTGTATGCAGTGCTTGGTCATTGTTGGTGCATTGTAGTACCAGCGCTTGCAGTGCCTTGGCTAATGCTCCCCAAACTCTTGCCAGAAGATTCGAATCAACTCAGGGCCGCACGATACTCCGTCTATGCCCTGACCTGCTTCCCTCTTTGCAGAGTCGCGCTTGCGCTGGCACGCTTGCGCTGGCACGCTGGCAACCAGCCGGTGAGGGCTTTCAGGGGCTGGAATCTGCGGCCCAAATGGCTAGCCACAGAATAGCTGTGTCAATGCCAACGTAGAGCCATTTTCCCGGGCACTGACTACAGATCTGTCCAACCATGGTACATCCAAGGACCACTGGGCGCAGGACTGCATCTTTTGCGACGGGTTCCTGTGAGTTCTTCGCATCCTGCAGTGCGAGCGCAAATTTTCTTCTGCTTCATGGAACAATCAGGGCATTTCTTGACTGGCCGTCCTGCAGCAGTACGTCGATGCCATCAGCCTTTCTCTCTCCCCCTCTCTCACACATATCAAATGCGAATTGCTTTTGCTGCTTTTGTGCACCCAGCAAGCTCCACCCCAAGGGCACACTACCGAGCAAGGAAGCTGAAACATGCACATGATGCCCGTCAGTCTACAGGCACGCATTCAACGATTAGGAGTCCATTCTATTGACGGTCATTCTGCGTTCGCAGCCGTTGCTAAAGGGCAAGCGGCCTGCATGCGGAGGTGGAGGTGGAGGAGTTCGCCGTCTGTCACCCGAAGACATTCATCGGTGTCCCAGCCAGCAAGGGGTCTCACCTGGACTCTGGGCCAGGAATCCGCGGTGAAAAATGGAGTCAGCTACAGAAGCACCCTGCCCATGCCATGCTGAGATGTGCACGGCTTGCTCCCAGGACTCACAGCCTCCTGCGTGAGGTAGAAATGCGCGAAGCCGCGACGGAAGCATGTGAAGATAGCTGCAGGGGATTGCAGGGGCAAATGGCAGATACAGGCAGATGATTGTCCTTCCGGTGCGGTGTTGATGCGACAGCGACCCTCTGTATCCAAGACAATCTCCTGGCTTGCAAGGCACAGCCTAGATGCAGGGGAGTCTGACATGTCATGTGTAAAAAGGAAGGGTAGTTTCGGGAGTTCCTGACCACTATGGTAGATAGTACGTGGTCTTCCGGCATGATGCCTCGAGGGGGCTTACATGCCCCAAAATTAGGGTTTTTTGCACGCTGGCCTCCATGTGCCTCCTACAGTTATTCAAGGGCCTCCAACAGCAGGATAAAGCCACCAGGTGAGATCCAATATAAGTTCTACGGGGCCTTATCACTGACATTCCGTCTTGGTCCACCGCTTCTCAGGCCGGCGCCCACCAGTACACCAGGAACTGCGCAATGCCAGCCTTGTGGGACATGTAGGGGGTTTACGCTCTGGCAACTCGGACACAGCCAGACGAGGTTCTTGGTGCGCGGTCGGACTACTGTGCGGATCCAGGCAGGCGAGGCATAAAGGAAGTAGTCAGGATGATAATCAAAAAAGGTAACAACAGATAAAGAGGGTTTCGGCGTTAGATTTCCTCTTGTTGCAAATCGGCACAAGAACGAGCTGTTTCAGGTGCTGATTCACAGGTCTTCACGGGAGGCATATGACTACGCTGCCTTTTGCTTCTGAGGCCGGGCACGCATGTGGCGCGAAGTTCGACTGGAGGATCGATCCAGTTGCCCAAGTTGCTGTACCTGAGATGCTCGCTACAGTGGAGAATCAATCAGTCATGTGTGAAGTTCCTTAGACCTGCAATCAGATGCAATAGCTTTGAGGTGCTGCAACATGCAGCTGCCGTTTTGGTCGCCGCTGCTATGTCAAAGCCAACTTAGACTTAGAGCTGAATTAGAGAAGACTCTGGCTCACACCTTCGGAACCAACATCCTTGTGGCTACACAACCCAGGCAGTCAAGGCCAAGGCCCTCACAAGTATTCAATCTCCTGAAAATCCAGCTTCACCTTGGGATTGCGCAGCTTCGGCAACACCATCGCATGAATGCAGTGCCTTCATGGTGCCTGTACACGTGAACTCGCTCCGACATCTCACCAGGAACACTCAGACCAACCAAGTCGCAAGGGGAATCGGATCTGTGAGCTTCACGTGCGGAATCGTGGACATCGTCTCGCAGCTGTAGCGCTCACTGCGCAAGGGCAGTGCGGACATGAATAGTGGTAAACGAGCTTGCATACGGCAGATTCTTCTCTGAGCGGCTAGCTGCTGATAAGGTCTTCAGAACAAAGTTTGCAAGTGATGGCGACCGGCTGCACATCGACTCTACAATTCTGCTCCGATCAATGCCTTCTGATAGAAACATTTTAAAAGCATCCCCACTCAAGTTCCCTCTCATTAACGTTCTACATAAGACAGTAAGCTGTCTGCGATGCCATGCTGCCTGTTGCGCAGCCTCGCTCCCTTCAAGGAGGCCTCAAGAGTCTTAGAGACATGACACTAACACGCATTCACTCTGGCCGAAACACCAACAACTGCAGACTCCCGCCGCATCAGCGCACCCCTTGAAATCTCTGAGCCAGTCGCCCCGGTCGGGGAGTGCAGCACCGCAAACCTCTCCAAAAGCTTCGGAGCCTCACAGCTAGCCGCTAGCCCAGAAGCATACGAGAAGCTCTGATGAAACGGCGTGGCTGCAGCCGAAGCTGTTGTTCATTAAAAGCTCGATCCCGGGTGCCTCCACAAGCTGCCCGAAGAGCTGTGCGCAAGCTGGGATGAGAAGACCCCCTTCTCGCAAGAGTGCCTGGCAGCTCTGATGTGTGTCTCTATGCGTATACATATACGCCAACATATGTGTATGTGTGTGTCTGTGCATATATGCACATACGTATGTACATTTGAATACAAACCGCAATCCAACCGCATATATTCACGTACACCCATACATATACATGATGTAGAAACAATAACGACTTACTTCTTGCCTTACCTACGCATCTACACATGCAGTTGTATTTGTTTGTACTCGCTGCCACCTTCTATCATGCATTAGTATCTATCTTTCAAACCTGTATACACACGTATGTACGGATGTATGTATATATGCATGTGTGCATATGTATGTGTGTATGTGCATGTGCAGGCATGCACGCACACGTACTACATGTACATGCATGCGTGTGCATGTGCATGCGCGTGGATATATGGATGTTCGCTGCTGTCATCTAAGACCCTGATAGGTTATTCGACATGCCTGAATATAAGTGCGGTTGGAATAGTGGGCGTAGTGGTTCGGACAGTGTTGGCCGATCGCCTTCAAGGAAGATTTCAAGTCTGCAGTAGATGGGGTCGCCATTTATGACAAACCCATTATGCCGCACACTGCTATCACAACCTTCGCCATCATCACCACTATCAATTACCTGCGGCCGCTTCCATCCCTGCACCCCTGTTCCCCGATTATTCCCACCACGACTTGGCAAAAGCCTGTTCCGGACCCGGTCTGTGGCAATCCGTGTGAGGCGGGGGTGTGTATATATATATATATGTATATGTAACTGCAGGGGGAGCCTCCCAGCTTGATCCCTCCCGCGGAAGACCGTCAAAGCTTCAATGCAGATTCCGCGACCCCCACAGCGCCGGGCAGTTTCGTGGCAGGGTTACAATAAAGAAGACAAGGAGAGGAGATGTCAGGAGGAGCTGTGCAGTCAGAAGATACGCTTCGAAGCCTGGCCGGGGCCCAACAACGCTCGTCGGCCCGCCTACTTGTAACTAGATTAACCTGCCACGGTATTCCGAGTGTCTCCCCGTGTCGAGCTGAAAGCACCAGCGCCTGTCGAGCGTGGAGAATCGTCGGCAAGGCATGCCTGGGGTGACGGCAGAACGGATCGGATCTGATAGCAGCCCTACCAAATACACAGGAGAAAAGCGAGTACTAGTAACTGCACAGGCATTCTGCGCATACCAACTGTCCTGCTCATGTGTCTATTTGCCTACATTGGGCTGTTCTTTATTATGGCTGCAGCCCGTAACTCGAAAATCGCCTTGCGCTTCGCCCTCGCGCGCACAAGATCTTAACCACATTACCACCTTGAAGCCTTGCTACACTTTCTTACGCTACTGCACTTTATTGCCCGTTCGCTTTTGCGCCGTGCTGGTTTTGGAGCAGGTCCTGAACCTGGATCAAAATAGAGTGCGCTGCTAGTCTACGGTCAAGGAGGCGAGAGTTTAGAACAGAAGCCGTCGGCCCCCTCTCCGTCGCACCCAGTCCGACCACTCATTTCCACCGCAGCGTTTCCTTAAGAGGGCTCAGACACTACGGATAGCTCTGCATAATTTGAACAGTGTATGGACTACTTAGATGCATGACGGATTTCGAGTCCCGAAAACTAACCTTGCATGTGCACACCAGCAAGAATTCAGGCCATTGAGGCCTTCGTTTTTGCATGGCTTGACAGCTATGCCTGCTCCTCCAACCCTGAGCTCATTTCAGGACATGAGGGCCGATGAAGAAAGCAGTCACATGTGGATACCAAGTTTCGGGAATCACATAAAGCTCGATGCAAACGTCGTGATTGGTAGGCATGCTGCGGAAATGACAGTGAACCTCACCTAAGTCGTAGGGGTCTACAAGTAGTAAGCTGAAAAACAACTCTGCGGAACATTTCGTGTGGCTTACCTATAGCGCAAGCCCACCACTTTGCCTTCTGCATTACTTCGCATGGCAACCGTTCGACTAGTTGATCCGAATCCCTCGTGCCCGAACATCGCGGTAATGAACTTTCCAATCTTTTTGCCTACGTAACTAACTTTTGGACAGCTGCCGCCATTCTGCTAAGACCGGGTTCAACTGGCTCCTTAAAAGCGTTCTCTCTTGGGAAATCTCAACAACTTTCAGCGTCTCTTGGGTCGATTCGGCAAAATACTGCCGGGGCTCATTTAGTTCGTTTCAAAAAATCGCACCTCAAATCTGGCCGAGCAGGAAGAAACGACTTGCATCAACGAGATGTAATGTCCATTCGCTCAGGGTGTCCGCACCAACTAGCTGCTTTTAACCATACTGTTTAAAGCGTTGGTTTTTACATGCAAACAATACTTAAACATTTTCTTTCCAGCCATCACAGAATAAGCTTAAACCATCTGGCTGATGACAGCCGACTCCCTACATACAGCCTTCCTTTCCGGAGCAAGGCTCTGCGTGCGAACAAAGACTTGTTGCAATAGCGCACTCAATTGATTTCCTCGCCCGGGACACGATGATTAACCCGTGAATAAAGCAAGTTGCGAAGGTTAACCACCAACTTCGCTCAGGTGAGTGCACATCTGAACTGACTGTGCGTGCATGTACCTAGACATGTGAGCAATCAGGGCAATTGAGGTCACATCGCGTATAGCTCACCATTTTTCGACTGATGCAAGTACTGTACTAAAGACTAATGTCGCTTCAGCAAGATCTTCGGAGGATGTCTGTAAAAGTCAAAGCATGCTCTTCGCGAGATAGGTGGTTTCGCGGGTAGGCAGCTTGGTGCCGAGGACCCAGCTCTTCCCCCCGCCCCAGCGGCGTCTACCGCTGAATGGAAACATATCGTCCCACAGCAGCTTGCGCGAAACTCGCAGATCCGCACCGGCGGAAGTAACATGGACCATTTCTCACCTTTGCATTTGTTACATTTTGTTACGATGAACATGTATGGAACCACATAAGCTGCCTGTCCTGTTCTCGTGCGGAAGAGCTTAGGCCCAGTCTCGCCCAACAAGCCTGCATCGAAGACCTCGCAGAACACCAGGTCGACACGATCCTCCAAGGAGAGCGCTGTGCTGACCTCAGCATACGAAACATGAAACGCATGCGCACGCATATCTGTGTATATACACATAATATCCAAGTATATCCGAGGATCGAACAAAAACCGTTCATGTGGATATAGTTTCTTCACGCAGTGTTGAGTTCTTTTCGCGGGTTCATGCTTGAACTTTCGAGCGACTTGTTTCCAGCGGCAGCAAAAGCAATAGTAGTATTGGTAGTAGTAGTAGTAGTAGTAGTAGTAGTAGTGGTAGTAGGAGTAGGAGTAGGAGTAAGAATAATAATGATAGCAGTGGCAGTAGCAGTAGCACTACTACTACTACTGGTGCTGGTGCTGGTGCTGGTGCTAGTACTAGTACTAGTCTGCTACTCGGAGGAGCAGGAGCAAGAGCAGGAGGGGGAAGAGTAGTAAGAGTAAGAGTAGGAGTAGTCATAACCGTACGTAGAAATGACAGTAGTAAGAGCAGTAGTAGATGAAGAAATATTAGCAGTTGTCGTTGTCGTTGATGTTGTAGTGTAGTAGGACCTGGTAGCAAATACAAGGACCTTTTTTAGCACTCGCAGCTCGACAACGTGAGACTAGGCTTTTTGGAGACAACAGCGACACTCATGAGCACGTTGGCCCATTTCAAGGCATTAACAGCTCAGAACATTTCAAAGTCCACGATTTCCGCGACTGCTTAAGTTGCTTTCGCGCGTAGGAACCGGGACGGAGGCCATCCTAGAGCAGTAAACGGTCCAACCTGCACGCGAAAAGATCCCAAACTGGTCACTTTGATAACCAACGAAAGTACGCGATCCGCAGTTCAGGGTATCCGAATTAAGAGTGCAATCAGGTCCACGGATCCACCAGTTGTTGGTTGTGCCATGATGGCCCTGAGCAAAGCGAGCCCTGGCTGAGAGAGGCCGACCAAAGCGGGAATGATTGCACTCAAAGACAAAGGATATGTCACCCTCCACTGTCGTAATCACTTACCATGACGTTGTTGAACGGGTCTGACATGCCCGAAAGGAAAGCATCACGCACACCAGCTGATGCCTTGCGTCCTGCGGTGAATGTAAAGCTGGAGGTATCCGTTTCGAAGCAATCCCATGGCACTGGCTGCCCTTGCGTGATTCCATACCAGGCAGGCACGAAAGAAACCATGTTTGCATCCCATAAACAGCGATTTCAATGGCAGTGACTTTTCCAATTCCCGGACAAACCTTAAATGACAGCGAATTGTCAGGTTCAGACGTGCGTTTGTCCCCTTGCTGGCTTTCACATGATGCATGTCGTAACTGCAGTATCCGGGTCAGTTTGAAAAGATCCATTGCTCCATCCATCCGGGTTACGGCCGTCCGTCTGGATCATCAGCATCGTAGGACAATCCGACTCTGCCTCAACCATGCCGACTGCAAGTCCCACAAGCAGAACATGTGCCAGGGCATGCCGTGGCGCAGGCCATGGCTGCCTCAACGACGGTAACGCCGAGCTAGGCATAAGTGAAGTTTTGGTGCGAGATGTTGCCTGAGTGGCGGGCGACACACCTTGAGCCGATACACGGTTTACTCCGATGCTCGCATATGAGACACAGTAGTCAACCCAAAGAGTGAGTCTGCCGAGCCGGAGCCCAAGTCATCTGTCACAATCTACGCAGGCGACGTTGGGATGCAACGTGATCGGGCAGTGGGTCGTAGTCTGTGAGGCGATGACCTGAGCTGTGTGTACATTCAGGGCAACATGCAAAGGGGTGAAAGCCAGCGCTGCTTCCATGACTGTCTTCAAGCACTTCTGCCTCTCTAGCAATCGCGCAGAGGGCTTCGTTCATCTCGCATGCATGGACTTTTTGCACGCCCTGCCCAACAGGCGGACTGGCATGAGACTGCATGCTAGGCCTTGGCGAATATTTGACTGCAAGGCTTTGCCTGTTGTTGCGCGCACATGAGAGCCAGCCTGAGCAGCAGAGTTACGTGAATCTGTTCAATGCACCTTGTTCCAATAGCATGAGGAGGTTCAATGCAAAAAAGCCCGTGACAGACCCGTTCCGGTGCCGATGTCCAAAGCGGTGACACCACCTCGTGCCCGCACCTCGTAGTCAGAGCTAAGCAGAAAACCAGCAGGGCTCGTAGATTGATGCAGTGTCAGTGTTGTCGGTGCAAGCAACCGGAAACATAGCAATATTTAAGTTCGTTTCCGCTCGATGCGATGAGATGGGAGACTGCAGGACAAAATCGGGCTGTCGTGGTGAAAGTCATATTAACCGTGGCATTTGAACCTGAACTGGACCGGCGCAACTCTGGACCACAGTCATCGCCGCTTGCATCGAATCACTGCAGCATTGCACATCACCCATACATCCTAGACCCTATACCAAGGCCTCAAACCCAAAACCCCCAACCTCAGAAAGGCCTTCAAAACTGTCTATATCCGTGGGCCAACTTAAACAGCCCTCTCATGGGCTTCTCAGGGAAAGGAACGGAGAAAATATATACATATTCATACTCATATGTAACTCTCTCTGTATGTAACTATATCTGTTGATTCATATCTACATCAATTTCGCTATGTGTATGTAGTTTTCTGTATATATTCGTATAATATTTTTGTATTCCATTTATGTATATATATATATGTGTGCATATATATATATATATATATGTGACTTATGTATGTTAGAGGGTAGGTCCAGGCCCGGCCTCGGGCCTCCCGGCGAGCTGAGCCACAGCCGAGGCAATGGCACGGCCCTTCGAAACGCGGAAGTTGATGGGTTATCGTCGCCTTTAAAGGCTCATTCTGCGTCTAGGGTGCCTTAATACTTACCTCTACTATTTTGGGGGTTCCTTACTATGAGTATGGTATAATGGCCCCAAAAACACTATTAAAATCATTGAGGCCCCCAAATTATCGATCCCGTATTTATATTTCCCTTCCAGTAACCTAATCGGCACCCTATAAAGGGACCCCTATTCTAATTATTATATAAGCCCCCCCCTGCCCCAGGGCCGGATCCCTTATAGTCCGCTTTAACGGAACCCCCAGGAACCCTCAAAGGGACCCTATTCTAATTATTAAGGCCCCCATACCTACCTTTGGTTAGTAGGGAATGGAAGACTGGTAGTAATAGTAGTTATAATTGTACCCCATTCCTCCATTCCCTACTAACCGAAGGTAAAAAAGTGGGGTTTAAGATTCTTGGGGTAGGGATTCCTGAATATGAACCCTATTATGGGCACCCTAATCCCTACTAAGCCCCCATAGGCTAAAACCCCTTTTGGCCTCCTATAAAATGCGGAAGTCTCCGGCCCCGACCCAGCTACCGCTTCCCGTGCAACCTGTGCATACATAGCCAAACATGAACAAGAACTAGATGCATATATACTTATTTATCTATTTTTTCATCTTCTTATGTATCTGTATAAGCGTGTACACTAATATGTATATATGTATATATAAATAAGTCTTATGGTGAACGTTTTCTTTCTTCCGTGTTGATTTGTAGCATTGTGAAGCCATGGCATGTGTCAATCCTCAGCTAAGCATCTTCCATGGATACCAAGTTTCGACTCGGCGAGTGGCATACTGTTCCCCTCGCGGCACATCATTGATCATCTGGAAGTGCCATCCTGGGGAGGTACTACTCGCCAATTGGGAGTTTCCGAAAATAGGGGGTACCTTATTTTGGGGTCCTTATAGTAATAAGGATCCTACTATTTAGGGTGCTATATTAGAGTCCCCGATTTTCGGAAACTCTCATATCTCAGCACTTGTCTCGGTCGCTACACGCGTCGGAAACTCCAGGCCACACAACCCTATTCTACTTGAGGAAGGCTGCTCAATCACTGATCTTTGAGCTGCCGATAGCCTGGGCTGCTGGCTCTGCAAAGCGGCAGCTCGGAGCCCATCGAGGGCGGCTTCAGCCCTGCTGGCTCCTGGACCAACTAATGGCTGCTAGAAATTTATTCCAAAAGAGTTTAAGGCTTAGCACATCTTAGTCTTGCTGCTTCCCTCGCATAAGACCGTAGAAGGGATGTGCAGAGGCTGCGAAGGCCAGAGTCACAGCTGGGCAAAGCTTCTGGCAAATCAGGCTCCAACCATTGACGTCGCCAGCTTGCTTGGCCAGGGCCTGCACTAGAATTGCAGGAGTCCCGCGGCTTCGACCCATCTTGACCAAGCTTTAGAAAAGGCAGCTGTTTGCAGCGGCCTCCGCACGTCTCAAGGACTGGAAGGCAGCAATGAACTTCCCCTCGTCGGCCTCGGCCTCACGGCAACAGAATTCGAGTCCAAGAGACGTTTAACCCTCTCGGAGTCCTCGCCAAGCAGGCACTGCAGTGTCACGGACGACGCCGCGGCGGCGAGCCTTCAGAGCAGAGGTCAAGATAACAAAGAAAGAAAGAAAAGTATAATTTCTCAAGGCTTCAAGAGCTTTCCCTGCCGGTCTGGGTCCGCGACGGTGTAGAATTTCCGGCCTGCGCAGATCGCGCCACTTTCGCAGCCTCCGTGACTCTTCGAACAGGCGTTGAGAAACTTTGACCATCATGCTTCAGCAACAATAGATGGCATCCACGCCCAGAGCCTTGCCGCGGACGGGACATACTGCCGATGCCACAGCTGAGAGGAGTAGCCTCCTTGTAAACCCGAAAACTGTCGGACAGGTTTCTGGAGATATCATTAATTAAACACGAAAATAGTTGAACCACTCTCCGGCACTGGATTCGTAGGGACGAACAGGCTGAGAATCAAGCCAGCCTGAATGAAACCCAAGAAGGATTTCCCAAGAAGAATCAATCGTGCTCATTTTGCTTGCTCGGGCAATGTCCAAGCCGGAGGTTTCAAGCGGGACGGACGTGTCACGAGACTCCTTGATCTCGCAGCCAAGTCTTCGCGGCCAGCAACCTGAGAAACGCGCGTGCTTCCTGCCGACTTCTTTGCCCTTGACGGGGCTCTGGCGAATGCCGATCCTCCGCTTCGACTCCTCCAGGGAAAGACACGGAAGTCGCCAAATAGGTTTTGAGATTCAGAGCTTCATACTCTACCCACGCCGCAGGCCACTTGGACGTTCACAGTTTCATCCCGACGCGATTTGCCTGGCGCTGCCGGAGACATCGTTCGCAGTGGAAGTGGTTCCGAAAGCAAGCAGCGTATCCTCGCTTGACTTCTGTATAGCATTGACATGGTTGATCGCGAGCTCTGCGGGACCTAATGATCCAGTCCTGGGCCAGCTCAGACCACAGGTCTGGCAGTCTCAGGAGGACAGCTGACAGCATCGCCGCCGCCTGCGTGGTGCAGAACAAGGGCTCCGGTTTCTTTGCACGACGGGTCTCGACCTCCGGAACCCCGTGCTCGGGTGGCCTTGCGCGATCTCTCAAGTTCCCTCCAAGCCTTTTTGCCGGCGGCTGGATTTCTTCAGAGCCGGCCTCTCGCCCAGCAAGATGCGGGCATGGCCGACCGCCTGAAGTCCAAGCTTCCTGCCTTTGCTCGCAGCCTCCCACATCCAGGCCTCGGCTGCCCAGCTGCCCGTGGCAGCGTCCACCGTAGGCGAGTCCTTCGAAGCCAGGCCAGCGTTCTGCTGCTCCTGGCATCTTGGCTCATGCTTGGAAACCCCACGCAAGGTTTCACGCTGACGTCGAATTCACAGCCACGGCCTGCGAGGTGGCAGTTCGGCTGGGCCTCCAAGCGACGCCAGTGTAAACGTGAAACTGACCTGTATACTTCCCTGACACCGGCCCTTAATTGCGATTCGACAGGGAGATTCAGGCTGAACATTGAGCCTTGAATCCGGTCATCGGAAACAGGAATCAGAATAGAGAATCCCTACATGTTGTTCACCGATGAGACATTTTTCGTTCCGGCTTCGAACAACGAATCAACATAAAAGTTTAGTGCTCCACTGTTGGTCACCGATGGCAAACTTTTTTGTTCAGGTATGTTCAGGTTTCGTCCGGGCCCCGGAAAAAGCGAATCAGCATAGAAATGTCCTACACCCTGTTGTTCACCGATGGGAAACTTTGCATTCCGGTTTCGTCCGGGTGTCGGAAAAAGCGTCAGCAAAGAAATATCCTACACCCTGCTGTTCACCGATGGGAAACTTTGCATTCGGAAAAGCGAATCTGGATAGACATTTCCTAAAGTCCGTTCGACCCTGCATCGAAACTTCCGATCTCAAAAACGGCATGCGCGACCGGTTCTGCTTGGCATTGTGCCATTCTGGGAGCGTGCAGCAATGCCATTTCCATTTCGCCTGCGTGGGCATCTGTCTGCTACCTGGCAACGATGCGATTGGAACCTCAACCATTTCTTGCTTACATGACTGCTACGACCTACTAGGGCTGCAGTTCAGTTTGATGCTTGGAAGTTAGATAGGACAAGTCTTGGCAATTAAGCCATTTCTTTTGACTCTGGACTTGCTGGCTGCCAGAGCATGACCCTCCCGCTTGTTGCCAAGGATCAAGAAAAGAAATGAAGGTATACTTACCCCTCAAGTGAGACAAACCTAAATGCCATGATACGGCAACCAGTGCATGTATACTCTGAGCTTCGCTGCGCCGGTAAACTCGTGGTTTCGTTTCCCCACTCTTGTTGCTCCGACGCCTTCCAAGCCGCCGGCGCTTTGGCGGCTTCTTGAGTCCACGGGCCATGGCATGGCTACAGGGCACGCTTTTATTGTCTTCCTCGCTTGCCTCTTTTGAGGGTGGGGCTCTGGATGACACCTTCCTTCGTAGTGTTCAGATGGTGACTGCTGTTATTCTTCGTTATTCACTTTGTCATGTCGCTATTCTTGATGCGCTCTCTTAAACGCGTTATTACTGGAGGAGTAAGGGATTGGGCTCTGGCCACTCGCACTCTGCAGGCGAGGCTGTTCGGGCAGAAGCAAGGCACGTCGGCCCAGGAATATAGTGAGCCCCAGACGACACCCAAGCAAATCCCTACGCAAGATGCTTTTGAAATGCAAAACAAACAAGCGCGCCAACTATAATCTAGTACTGTAGAAGGCAAGCGACATCACCTTGCAGGGTGTTTTTCTGCGAATTTACGTTCAATCTGCGACTGCAACCCCGCACTCCGTGCAAAGGCTGCTAAAACCGGTGTCGTTTGGGCTTCGACCAAGCGACTAATTACTCCGCTCTGCGCTTGCGACCCTGCGCTCCACGCCAGGATAAGCTAAGCTGCAATGCGGTCAACAGGACGAAGTCCTTCGACAGAAAAGACTTACATTTGCAAACACTTTGCCCACATAGACTTAGTCACTCTAGTGACTCTAACTCTACAGAAGCGCGGCAATCGTTGCCACAAGGAGTACCTTGTCGCGCTTCTACGCCTGGGTTTCTCCGGTGGACTTCTCTGCCGTTACCTCCTTAGGGCCATGGAACATGCCGCCGTGCTCCGCCCAGTAGTAGCAAGGGCTGAGCAATGCCCAGAACATCACGTAGCCAGCGTGTACTTGGAAAGGAAGCAAGGGATCATCAATCGGCCTGTAGAAGCAAAAGCCTGCAATGACAGCTCCCAAGTTGCCTCCAGCCCCAACAAGTGCAGACACCACGGCCAGCTGAGGCCTGTTCATAAAAGGCACGATGCCGCAGCTGGTTCCCTTTGCCATCTGGACAAACAGGGAGAAGCACACAAGCACGGCCAAGGCCACGTACCACGGCTGCGAATTGTCCACCAAGCATCATCATCATTTGCTGTACGTGCAGGAACCTGACTGGGCCGAGGCCATTGGGTTTGTAACCTGCACCTGCATTTATGCAGCGGCGCAGCTTTGCAAAGCTGCGGCAAGTAACAAGTACAGGAAAAGGCCGGCGCACCTGATCATCTAGGACAAGGGGGAAAAGCGAGGGCAGCAAAAACCCCTGGCAAGCCAGGCCTAAACCAAAAAGGGTGGGGGAAGGCAGAATCCTAAACCCAAAAGGCGGAGCCTAAACCGAAAAGGCAAAGGCAAAAACCCCTGCAAGCGGTCAGCAAGCTGGCCTCCCAGTGGGGCGCACAGACCTGCAAGCGTCACAGGCTCACGGCAAACAAGTCAAGGCTCATGTGGGACAAGTAACCTCCTCGGCCAAAGGTACTATTACTAGGCCTAAAGAACAGGCAGCAATTTGCATGCGCACGCGGGTGACAGCACACTGGGAAGCACTCATAGTGATCCACCCAGTCTTGCTCGTGCAACGCGGGACGGAAGTCCAAAAGGCCGGCGCTAGGCCGTATTGCTGCTGCAAACGACGCCGATCCGCGTTTAGGCGGGGACACTCCTGAAAAAGGTGCCTCGAGGAAGCCACAGCGTGGCCACACGAGCACTGACAAGCGGCGCGGCCATGATTCCAGTAGCGGCGAGATTTGGTCTTCACTGCACCACCTCGGAAAATGTCAAGATTTGTGCGGGCGGCCGCACTCAGCTTGCTGCGCCAGTGCTTCCACTGCGGGTGACTCTGGGCCTCGAGGTCTATATCATCACATCCCTCGGCATCAGCCCTGGTCCCGCGGACGAGGCCGAGAGCAAGCGCACGGGCAACGATGCGCAGGCCATGGCCCTCATCTCCTGCGGCTGCAAAACATGCGTTTCGACGCCGTTGGGTCCTGGCGATCGCGCGGACCGCACGCACAACCTGAGCCGGGGCGCTTGGCAGCGGCTGAAGCAAAACACCTTGAGGTGAATCTTGCAAAACTTGTAGCTGAAGCTGCGCAGCATGATGACATGTCACGGACTGCAGAACAGTGTTCCCAGCAATGGGATGTTTTTGGGTGGCTGCCAAACAACAAAAAGCTGCGGCAAACTCAGGATGAAGCGAAACCCTATCGGCCCAAACCCTACCCCGGCACCACCACGTACAAGGTCCTCAGATGGCACGATAGAAAGCCTCAGTAACTGCGGGTGACAACTTCGGCGTCAGGGGCGCCGACCACAAAAGCTTTGGGAGCACCAAGCCTTGCAACAATCTTTCAGTCACAGCCATACCACCTGGGAGGCAAGTGACGGCGGAGGCCAAGCTGCAAAACTGAGGCTCGGACACCCGCAACTCAGGGACAACCTGACTGCCCGGGGCAGTTGTGATGCCCAGGTGCTCTACAGAAGCATCAGGGTTTGCCGTACGGTCCCAAAGCTGGCGTTTGCCCTGGTGCTCTTGCAGGCCGAGTGTTTCATCACTCCACTGCGACAAGGCCAAGGCGGAGGCTAGGGCATCCTCAGAGGCGCGCCTGCCCACCAGCTCAACGAGGCTTCGGTCGTCCATAAACAGGAAAGCGCGGATGCCTGGGCAACTCTCCACCAGAGACCGCCAAGGTGCCAAAACGTAAGCCAGGAGGCTGGGCGAGCACGGGTCACCGGCAGGCAAACCCGTACACGCGTAGACAGGGCGCGCCGCAGCAGCGCCGTGCACAACACAGCACCTGGGTGCAGGCCACACGAAACGTGCCAAAAACTCGACAATGGGAGCCGGCACTCCAGCTGCAAGCGCGGCAGCACGGGCCACCGCATGATGCACTGTATCAAAGGCCTTCCTAAGATCCAGCTCGGCACCTCTGACTGCGTCGGTGCGCAGCCACGCGACAGTAGCAGACGCCGCTGTTTCACCCTTAACACCACAAAACTGTCCTTGCGGCAACGGCGGGAACTGCCACAAGAGGGCCCGGTTGAACGCCCGCAGCGCGGCGCTTTCCACTGCTATCGGCCGCAGGGCCTGCTCAGTCTTCTTTGGAATACCCGCCACACGCAAAGCAAACTGTTGTTGACAGCTTTCATTTTTTGCTGCGGCACGCTCTACACAAGTATTAAAAATGGCGTTTAGGGACTTAAGGAGGTGGGGGGCATGCACTGCTAAACCCTTTAACTCCTTGGCAGTCCAGCCGTCAAACCGAGCGGCTCCTGCACCCCTCTTCACGGCAGAGATGAACTGGTCATCAGTAACCGGTACAAAGGTGGCTTCCGGCGCACATGATGGGACACCCGCGCGCTCACAGACCGCGTTCCACCGGCTTTGGGGCTCGGAAAGGTCTTTAGACCACACCGGCTCCTATTGCTCTACCATGACCTGTGACGTAAGGTCAGGGTCAGCGGGCACATCAGGGCGAAGGGCCCGCGCACCGGGCCCTAACACTTCAGCGGCATCTTGGCGAAATTGACGCTTCCACCGCAACTGCCAAGCATGACGCTGTTTGGCCTCTTCGCTCGAGACGGCAAGACCAGCACGCATCACAGCCTCGCTCTGACATGAAGGCAAAACACCGCCAACCGACTCCAGTGACGGCACTGCGAGGGCGTGAGGCGAGCCGCAGGGCCACTGCGGCGCTCTTGCTCAGCAGCAGCACGATACAAGCGGCGCCAACGGCGCAGCTCCACAGTTTCAAGCTCACAACACAGCTTCGGCTCGGCCACAGGTCTGGTGGTGGCCCGTGACCCTTTTGGTCGCTCAGCCTTTCGCTCCACGGTTGCTAAACCCTCCTGGACCGCCTGTTGACAAAAAGCTTCCGCAGCCTCATGCCAAGCCGCAAACTGATCGTCGAGGGACCGCGACTTTGGCAGGATGCGAGGATCCACAGGAGGCACCGCAGACTGAGGCCTGGCACCCGAAAGAGGGCCCCATGCATACACCGCACATCTGTGGTAACGAGTTTCAGGACAAACTTGCATCTTCGGGCACCAGGCGCCGTTGTAGCACACCGCCTTGTGGTGAGGAATGCCGGGCAAACCAGTGGCGGTGCACGTGACATCCTTAAACTGGTCACCTAAAACTAAACCCCTAGTGGGTGCGGCTAGGGAACCCAGCACAGTGGGCGTCACAGGCAAAAGGCTCGCACCAGCGGCAGTGGCCGGCGCGCAGTAGGCTTCCTTCCAATTGAAATCGCCCACAACAAGGCATGGGCGCTGCAGCTCCCGGGCCGTTTGCAGAATTCCATGAAGAGCGGCAGGCTCAGCGAACTGGGCGTTTCCATGACGCTAAAATTGCTAAAAACCCTACCGCAGAGCCTATGGGAGCTAGGACCCGGCAGGGGGCAAGGGAAATCCTTTGACTTTCCCTCGAGCCGCCAAAGAAGGGCCGTGCCACCTTGGCGAGGGCAGCCCAAAACTTGCCGTGGCGGCGCTGCACTCCAGGCGGATTTCCATCCGACCCCTCGGGCAAGCCTGGCAGCCCATCCAGGGGCCTTGCTGTGTCTGGTTTCCTGAAAACAAACAAAAACGGCGCCGACCCGGTTGGCTTCGTGCAAAACGGTGACCAAACGCTGCTTTGTGAGGCTGGTGACATTGATGCTAAGCACGGGGACACACGGGTTAGGGTCGTCAGGCAAAGCACCCCCCAACAGAGGGTCACACGGGTTAGGGAGCATCTTGTCACCCCACTTCTGGCAGGCTAGTCACTCGTGACGCTCCTTGTTGCGGTTTGCGTTCGCCCGCTTTTGGGCAAGCTTTCCTTTCGCCGTGGCAACAAAGCGGCAGTGGCCCAAACGCTCCTGGCTTTTAAAGTGAGCGGCCGCCTCCAGTCCAACCGTCTTGGCGATCCAGTCGTGGCGCGTGACCTTGTGCTTGGGGTCACGGGACGGGCAAGGCAAAAACTTGAGACGGGTCAAGGTCTGCACTCTGTTACACTTAGAACAGGGGTAAACCGTGGCTGGCGTGCCAGCAGGAGAAACCTTGGTAGAGGCTAGGTCCTGGACGGGGGTGCACGCAGCATCCTCCCACTTAGCGCCCTTCAGCTTAGAAAGGTGGGCTTGGAAGGCTTTCCAAGCTCGCGCCCGGCGAGGCTCACTTGCAGCTAAACCCTTTAAGGCAACTCGTCGGCGCACGTTCTGTGAGGCGGCCGTCGGGGGGCGCGTGCCCTTGCACTGTCGCCAGTGAGCTACCGCAGCAGCGTTGGCGCGGTTGCCTCGCAGCCCCGTGGGCACAACCCAGCCGCAGGAGCAGTTGTAAAGCTGACCAGGGGCGTAGTCACTGTCGTCTTTCGTCTCAGCTGTGAAGTTTTGAACGGCCTGGTCAAGGCCCAGAAGCCTGGCCGGGTTGGCGGGTGCACTAGAGCAGTCCCCTAAACCAAGCAGTCGTGGCACGTCGGTGCCTGAAGGGGCTGCAGACCTGGCGTCAAGTCCAAGCAGCTGACGGCACGTGGGAGACTCAGGAGGCTGTTTTTTGGTGAAGCGGCGCCCAGCTCCGACCAGGGCCTGCGCCACTTCTCCTTCCTGCACTCGCACGGCTTGGTTCCAAACAGCGTCAGCCACGAGCCAGTCGCTGGAGGCCGGCTTTCACCACTGGTAGTGTTGGTCCTCAAGTTTAAGCCAGACGCACGGCGGGGTGCCCCCTTTCTTCTTGCTGGTGGACGGGTCCGGCCCCAACAAGTACAGGGTCCACATCCCCTGCTCTTCACTGTAGGCCCATACCCGAAGCTGGAGCTTTAGGGCCCCGGCCAGGGCGGTAAGCGACAGGCTGTTCGCCCAAACACCTGCGGTGGCGGTACGCTCCGCGATCTCCTCAGGGCCAACGTCGGTCTGGCTAAAGGCCTTCTTATGAGCGCGGATATACTTAGCCGCCTCGCACCTCAAGAAGGCCTGTAGCCGCCCGGCTGGCTGCAGATCCTTGTCAAAAGCGTCGCTAGCACTAAAGGTGGCTAAAGCTTTGGCAACCGAAGTGTAGGCGCAGTCGCCAGCTCTGCCGCACTCCTGCGGAACAAAGCGACGGGCAAAAGGCATCTGCGGCCGCAGCTTGGCGGACTTTGGCCTCTTAGCAGCAGGCTCTTTAGCTCGCGGCGGCTGGCCTCGCTTACTAGCCTCACCAACGCTGGCCGCAGCATCAGGCATATCGCTGTCAGTGTTGCCAGCGCCAGGCTCCTGGTTGGAATCCTCAGCTTCTGCAGTCGTGGGTGCGGGGAGAGCCTGAGCGGCCTGCGGAACAGCACCTGTACCCCACAGTGCAGGCCCAGTGATGCCAGCCTTGCGGCGGGAGCGCGGACTTGAGGCTGGCGCAACAACGATGCCGGAGGCGTACATAGCGGCACCGGCCCCTTCCTTGGGCCAAGCCCTGCAACTCCATGCGTCAGCACTGAGGCGGTGTATCCCCGAAGGCTCAAGGAAACCGTGCTGAGAGAGCCATTCTTCCACCTCAGCGTTAAGCCAGCTGCGAGGCACACACGACACAACCCAGCGGGGAGCGATGCCGCCCTCAACCGCACCTCCAGATGGCGGACCAGTGAGGCGCAGTCCAAGGTTTGCTTTGCCTCCTGGGCGGTAGGCCAAGACGGCACCAGGCGAAGCCTGCGCGGCAGCAAGGGCTTTGGCAAGGTACTTGGGGGCACTAATGTCGCGGTCTCGGGCAAGCCACTGCACGCTACACTCCGGGTTCCGATGTTTAGCCAGAAAAGCCCCAGGACACAAGGCAGCCTGCAAAAACCCCGAAGCATCCTGCAGCCGGACCCTTAAAAGGCACGTGACCTCAGTCTGGTACGAAGCGGCCGCATAGGTGCGGACGACCCTCTCTCTCAGCGGACCGGGCAGTAGGGTCGCAGCCAATGCCTGAGGGCGCTTGGACGCGACAGCGAACCGATTCGGGTCGCAGTACTCCTGAGCAAGAGTCAAACGAAAAACCTGCCAGTCCGGGTTGCTGGTTGCATCCGAAGCGGCAGCTTTGTCTTCAAACTCGGGCTTGGGCTGAAGCCCATTAGGCTTAGGTGCTCCTGCACCGAAATGGTGCAGCTTGGCCTTGCGAGCAGTAATGCCCCCTGTAGGCGTGGAGACCAGCACTGGGCAAGAAGGCTCAGCAGACACAAAATCCACTAGTGTTGTGGGAGTTGTGGGCGGAGCCGCGGCAGCCCAGCTAAGTACCTGTTCCAACTGGGCCTGGGTGTAGGCAGCAACGACGCGTGGCCCATTCTGGGGCCTGTGCAAGGCAGCGACTGACACAACCGGGCACGGCCAACCCTTAGGGGCGAGGAGAAACCTACCCGGCTTAGGGGGAGAGGCGGCTTTGGCAGGGGAGCTCCCAGCTTTAACCACGTCAGCAAAAGTGGCTGGGGCCCGAGGCCTTGGCGCCCCGCGGTTTTCCTTAGGCGACTCCCTAACTTGGCGGGCTGCTGGGGCCGCGGCAGCGTGCTGGCCCTTCGCAAGCAAGTCTTCCAAAACTTTTCGCACCACCGCGTCAGAGGGCGGGCTCGGCTCCTGAGCAGCGCGGTCAAGCAAAGGCAAAAGCTTATCCCAGAGGCTATGGCCACCTCCTCGTGGCTTAGCAGGCGCCCTAGCCGCACTCCTAGGCTTTGCAGGCTTTGCAGCTCGCAGGCGGCTCAGTGAGTCCTGGACTTGCTGCAGACCCGTAGCAAGCTGAGCTACAGTCTTAGCGAGCTGTGCAACGTGGCCCTTCTCTTGTCGGCGGCGCTTGGTGGTCGCCGCCCCTCCTCCACCCCCTAAAAGTGGGTCCAGCACACTGGGCTGCTGGCTAGCCCACCGCAGCAGCATGCACCTACCGTCACTGAGGCGCTGACGGCATGCACGACGAGCTTCAACTGCCACCCGAGAGCGGCCAGCCAAAACAAGGCACAAACGGCCCCTGAGCACAAAGAACCCTGGCAAGGCTCTAGGGCACCGACTGCGCGGTCGAAACCTTCTGTGGCAACTGCAAAACCTGAACAGTTGCTCCCTGCAGACACTCGCAAACGTAGCACAGTAAGTGAGAAGCTCACTGACCGTCTGGGGCGGCCGACATGGCCACCTGCAAAGACTGTTACACCACAGCCCGGTAACCGCAGCCCAAAACTGCCTGCAGACAAGAGCGGCAGACTGCCGGCGCCGGAACTTGAAGTTGCACACGCCATCCACAAAACTCAAAACTGACAGGCCTAGGAACAGGCCTGAACCTCCACAGCCTTTCGCACCTAGCACAACAGCTAGGCCCGAGCTCACGGCGCCCAGGAAGGGCTGGACGTAGCTATGGAAGAGCTCATTGTCCACCAAGCCGAAGCAAAACAGGAAGATTGCTTCAAAGAACAGGGACAAGAATTGCGCCCAAATGCGGCCGCGGAATCCCATGTACTTGAACAGGATGTCGCTTGTGATTCCACCCAAAGACCTGGCAGAGACATTCATGATGGAGTCGTTTCGAATCGTTTCGAACTGACTGACCCATGCTGAGCAGACATTACAAGAGCTCAATCACTGAAGCAAATCCTTGACGTGATTAGCCAACACCTGCCTGGCAAAGAGATTCATGAGGCCAAATGCTCCTGCTAGGGCAGAGGCATCTGCCGCATCCATCTGGAAGTAGGTCCTGAAGTGCGTGGCCAACTGGTTGTTCATCGCCAGCTCCGTGCGAATGCTTGGTCGACATGGCGCCATTGCCGTGATGAAGCGGGGTATCTCCCGCCTCCCTCGAGCCTAAGCGTACCTAGGTGTGTAAAGCGCGGCACGCTGCGCGGCCTCACAGACTGAAGATGCCACTGCCGTGATGAAGCGGGGTATCTCCCGCCTCCCTCGAGCCTAGGCTTACCTAGGTGTGTGAAGCGCGGCACGCTGCGCAGCCTCACAGACAAAGCGGAGGTTGCAATGTGCACAGGGCCAACAAGCGGGGACTAAAACCCACAAGGGCAACAAGAACCGGAGGGACAACCCCAAAGCCTACACCCTACGGGAGGGGAGCATAAACCTTATCAAGCACTGCCTGTCTGACAGCGGCAAGGTGGCGTAGCACAGCAGTGCCGTACGTCACGTCGTGATGCTGCATCCAGCCGAAGCGGCGTTGCAAGGCACAGGCTGGGGTGGGGGGCCTACTCGGGAGGAAATGTGGGCACTGCCAGGCGAGATGATGCCAACAAGGCACCGCATCTGAGTTACACCAACAGCATCTGCCCACAGCCTGCCGACGCATGGCTCGCGACAGACTCAGATGAAGAAACCAGCAAAGGCAAAAACATCATCCATGCAGAAAGCGTTGACTGGTTGCGGTTAGGCCAGCAGTGCTGCTTGGTCATACATACTGGCTACTCGCTTGCGATGCAATCGGCTAAAGCGATACCTATTTGCAGCAGCTTGGCCACTGCATGATCATAACAAGTACCCGGAAGTCCGAGCACACTTCAACGTAGTCCCACAGGGATGGCTTCTTCGTCTTGCCCGTAACAGACACATCGAACCTCTTTGCGGTGGGGGTGTCCCAGCACAGCAGCTTCAAGCACGCCGCCGTGATGATAAAGAGAACGGCAGGAACGATCATGGCCACTCGCCAGGCTGTGTCAGCTGCCATTCCCGAGCTCACCATTGGGTTAAAGAGGACGGAAATCATGAAGATCTGCGTGACACCACCGCCCAGATTTCCCCATCCGGCTGCTGTAGCGTTCGCAGTTCCGATCACATTGGGCGCGAACATCAAGGAACACCAGAACTGGTTGGTCACGAAAGTGGCTCCTTCACAGGGGGCATCAGGCGGCTAAGTAATGTCAATGGGACGCTGCAATGCAGAAAAGAGAAAAATGGGTCCTGCGCAACCGATGAAGAAGCGAATCAGCGCATAATTCCAGGGAGCGGAAATGGCCGCTGCCATAGCCACCCAGAACGCTCCGAAAGTGAGCAGGCTGGCTTGCACATTCACTGGGCCGAAGGGCTCGAGGAGGGTGCCGAGAGCAATACGAACGAAGATGGTGGAAGCGACAGCGGCGATGATGATGATGTAGACAATGCCGTGACCCCACCCACATGCCGAAGCACGAGAGCAAGACTGGCAAGAAGGCGGCGCAACCTTAGCTGCGCCGAACAGGGACCTTAGTCATCAGCATCTTCCTCGGTACCAGGGGCTCCTGGTCCAAGAAGTTTCAAGCGTGTGTCACACAAATGACTTAGCGCATCCGCAGCCCCCCAACCCAACCTAGCAGCCAGGATACTACGGGGCATCCTACAGGGGGGCGGGTTCCCCGGACATGACCAGCAGAGATGATCCCAGTGAACAACGAGAGCACTGCACCACGGACACTTGCGATCCTCAGGACAGTTAGCCTTTCGTGCGACCGAATACGCGGCTCCAGACAGCACCGAAAAATGATTACGCGACTTGAGAGCGAAGCCACGAGCCGATGTACAAGCCTCACTGTAGGGGACCAACCTGCAGAGGAAGCTGTCACGCCTAGACCTGGATTGCCACAAGGAAAAGAGGCGTCGTCGCCAGCTCTCACGAAGAACATGGGCGAAGCCGTCCCTAGAAGAAGGGAAGTTGCGATGCCTTGCATCGAGCGACACGCGCGCCGCCTCAGACTGCCACTGCCAGTTGGAAGGACCAGGCTCGAAGCCAAGCCTACTCATGCTCTTACGGATCACACGCGCCCACTGACTTCTCCATGCAGGAAGCGCAAGGCCGCTCAACACGCAACGACGAAGAGCCATGACCTGATCAAACGCAGAGCGAAAGACCAAGGAGCAATTGTGCCCAAGCAGGATCTTACGCAAGCTGGGGTCACTCTGCCTAGCAGCACGACAAGAGCAGGCAAGGGCCCAATACTGGCCCAATCAACGCTGTTGGCTTCTTTCAAGATAGGAAGCCTGCAGACCCATCCATAACTGGCCTTGCTCATGGCACTCATGCCAGCAACAAGCACCTTCACCGCAAACGAGACCGGCAAGCACTTCACACGCTGGAGCGTCCACCTGGCGGCCTGCAGTCTCTGGGCTTCGGCGCCCTTGGATTTTTGGCCAGACGCAGGCTTGAGCATCACACCAAGAATCTTAGGAGAGTCAGTGACTTTAAGGGGGTCCGCCCCGTTTTCAATCAGCTTCCTCCGACCAGCACGAGAAATCTGAAAAAACTGGTCCTTGTCACCATTCTCATTCAAGCCGAGACGCGCGCTCCAACCGCGCCAACGCTGAGCAACACGAAGGCACTCCACAGCAGTGTCCGTGACCCAGCTTCTATCGTCGACATAAAGAGAGACAACCACGCCAGGATGCGAGCTTTTAATGTCAACAAGCGGCGCAACCAGCATGCAAACCATTGCCAGCATGCTCCAAGGGTCACCTTGGGGAATGCTGGTGGAGACCAGAGCCGGATTGGGACAAACAGCATCAAACAGCTGTAAGTAGCGGCGCTGACCACACCAGACACTCATCACCATGTTCAGTGGTCCAGCGGGCATGCCAAAGTGTTTCCACAACCGTTCAACAAGCCGAGGCCGAACGCAGTCAAAAGCAAGCGAGTAATCGAACGTGCCCAGATAGGCACCCTTATGGATGCCATCCAAAAGGGACGCAACAGCATCATAGGTACCAGCTCCACGTCGGCCACCATACGCTTCTGGGGGGTACCCATGTGCGGGTCCAGTTCTGAACGCAGTCAGACTTCAGCCGCGCACTAGCCCAAGTACGCCAGAAGCAACTTAAGACCGCGATGGGACGATGATTGGCAGCCGGAGTGGCCTGATCCGACTCACGCTTCGGTTTCCCATCCTTAGGAAGATGGATCTGACGAAGGTTCTTCCAACTCGACGGAGTGATCCCAACACATTCACACCTGTTGAAGAATGAAACCAGGCAGGCCCACACGTCAGGGTGAATACAAGCCAACTCGCTGCCAGACCACCCATCAGGGCCGGGGCTGGTCCCAGCCTGAATTTGGGCAGCTTTGTGCAGCTCGCTTCCTTGCAAGGGACACCACTCAGCAGTCTCACGCGACGGCCCAAGCACCCGAGCACAAGAAGCAAACTGATCATCCAAGTTGGGCAGCGGGCGATTCCACACGCTTTCCCAATACTGTTTCAAGCGGTCAATGGCGTCAGACAAGGAGTCACTAGCCGTCTCATCACCAAGGCAAACCACGTGGGTGTAAGTGGCGGACGCACCCCTCACCCACTTGAAGCAAGCAGAAACAGATCCACGCAGACGGTCTCGCCACCTGGCAAGCGACAGCGGCGACGCCTGCATTTGCCATCATGCCATTGCACTCGGTTCCGGTGGTGCATACACATTTGGCCAGGACTGAAGGCGCATACGGGCTCTTCTCTTCAGCAGTCGCAGTGGCACTGCTCATGACAGCAGCTGGAACTGTTGCACAGTCCGTGATGACATCACATGACATCACCATCCTTGATCTTCCCATACTGGCAGTACTCCAGACCTGTCTTCAGGCTTTTGTACTTCAGATAGGCCGGCCGCAATGGATTCTCGGCGGGAGGGAACTTCTGGTTCTCACACATGTTGATGCTGGTGGCCACCTCCAGACCCAATGGGGCAAGAGCGAACCAACCCAAGAAGGCGAGGAAGAAGGAAAAGACGCTTCCCCCGAACGCTCGCATATGTGGATTCTGCTGGACAGTGCCGCAGATGCGGAGCAGGGGCAACTCCGTTGCCTTGTTGGATTCATCCACCTTCAACTTGAAGTCCGCCATGCTTACGAGCTTTGACAGGGACTCACTCCTATCTGAGCCTGCAAGTGCTTGGGCTAAGGCCATAAAGGATTTTAGGTTCCTGCTACTGAGAGGTGCGCGTGGTAGGCGTACTGGCATCCGAGCATACGAATCTCCGCCTTCTGCCGTCCATGCCGTCCACACCACATAGCCCAACACCCGATTGACTTGCAAACTGCAGCGGGCGATAGCTTTTTCCAGGAGATCTTTCTGGCGTTGCGGAACTCTAGATCTATGCGATTAAAGAGCCAGGCATACGGTTTGTCTGCCGAACGGCCTGGTTGGAGGGGCTACTTCGTGGGTTCAGAGAGACGTGTGACAGAGCACAGTCACAATGTTCCTATGCACGGGGAATTCTTCCTCCAGTGCATGTTCAAAACAGAAAACGGTAATGAAAGAATGCATAGGCCATAGGCGCATTAGCGCAGGGAACGGAACGGGACATGATCATGCCGAAAGTAAAGAAGCATGAACCGGCCGTTGAGACAGCAGCAGAAGGCATGCAAGTCGTTCGAAGCTACCGGAGTTCTTACCAGGGCGGCGATGGCAATGACTACGAAACCGCCATGATCACATTCTGCTCTGTGGCCCTTTCCTTTAGAGCATGCTCTGCTGCAGGTGCCGAGCGGCTTGCCACTTCTTGCGCAGTCACTCGCAACCTTGCGACTGCATGACTCGAATCGACACAAGCCTCCCGTCATGTCACGTGCGGCCAGCCTCTCGTTGCCTGGAGTGGCTCAGCTCGGGATACCTGGTGAAAGGCGGGTAAGCAACCACACCGCCGCAGCAAACTACATCGGCACTTCACTTGGGAAACGGCTGGAAAGCGTCACAGGGCCTCCCCGATACGCTTTGCACAAAACGTGCGTCTGCAAGGCCTCAGTTGCGGTGAGATTTGATTTCCGCGTTTGCACCACGAAGGAAATCAGCTAAGCTAGTGCCAAGGTCGCAGACGTAACTTACCGACTAATTAGCAGAGGAGCTGTCATGCAATCTTTAACAGATTTAACTTCATCTGTCATACTCATATCGAATAAGGAGCCCAACAGCGATACAGTGATAGAGAACGCCAGCTCTGACACGGTCAATGTCAATCATGCCAAGGCGGCTGACCCCGAGCCTATGCAGGTGCACGACCGCAGCTGGCGTCGTGTCCAAATCCCTTTTCGCATCCTGACAACTCTGGCACTTTGTTCCTTAGGTCTGAGGGTCTAGAAGATTCGAACGTTCTTGCCGCAAGACCAAGGACTCTAGCGGGCGCAGCATTCAAAAGCTGACTCCACCATGTCATATGCACCCGGAACTGGCACTAGGACCACCGTATGTCCTCGGCAGCATGTGTTACGAGGCTGTCCTGCTTGATTCCGTCCTGCGGAATACCGTGCTGAGATTGAAAGATGGTCTGGCGCTTCTTGTCTCTCTTCTCACTCGTGAAACACAAGACAACCCTGCAGCTTTTGGCGTAGCAGCACCGATTGCTGCGTTTGAAAAGAAAAGTATGTGGATTCTAGCTGTCCTGAGGCCGCGGGTCGACCACAACCTAGTTTGCATAGACCACGCGGGACTGTGCCCAGAGCTGTAGTACCTGGCGGAAGGGGTGAACTTCATGGCACTTGATATGCGGATCATTTCGCTCATGGATTTCTCGCTTTTCGGCAGCTGGTGCAGCTCAGTCGAACCGTCTGTTCCTCGCACACTGTTGGAAGCCCTTTGTGGCTTTCTCCTGCCAGTGGCAGCAAACTCGTGCGAAATGCATTGGCCGGTGCTAGCTGGGCGGCTCGGGAACAAGCCCCTCTGTACGCGGCGTGGAGCCTTGATTGAAACACAGATACATTAGGAGTTTGTACAACTGCTCGGGTCGAGCGTGATATTATTAAATCTCATGTGTGCTTAAGAAGCACAAAGCAAACACAATCCGCATGCCTCAGATGCGCGTCAGGTCTCGGCCAAAGATTCGGCTTTTGATCCAGTCAAAGAGAACCAGGACACGATTACGGAAGCTGACCTGCTTTACGATGTAGACGGAACGCCACAACACAAAAGCCGCTAGCCCTTTGGACTGCGACACCGTGGTTTCTCCGACTCCCAGCTCTGCAACAGCTTGAGACTGGCCCAAATACGCCAAACGTCCTAAGTCCAAAAAGCGGAAGGGAACAGCTTCGGTCTGCCCTCGAAACTGTGCCATTGGCATAAAGGCAGATCCTTCCTTAAGCACCGGGTGTGGCCGCGCCAGGTCATATTGTCTATTCAGCAGTCGGGCAACAAAGGCACCTTGCTGAGCTGCAACCTGTGCCGTGTTCGGGAATCGTGTGGAGCCCACAGGGCGGGCACAGTCACCAAGAGCGATTATCGACCCGGACGGCGCTCCGCAAACCCGCAGCCAGCCATCCACGAAGAGCTGGCTGTCGTTTCCGCGCGCCTGTCCAAAAATGACAGGAGATACGGCTAAACTTTAAACAAAGCTTCACCCTGTCTCGATGTCTGTAATGCAAAGCATCCTGAGTTCACAAGGGTCTGGAAACCTCCGAGCCCAAATTCCCTGCTCTCATGTGCCTCGGACGCTGCAAGCTCTTCTTGGCGAGGGATCGCTCTGTGCAAGTCTCTGACCAGGTCTTGGCCGATCTGCCCAGCCGCCCAAACCACCAAGCCACATGGTAAGGCCTTCTGGTCACCCCCATCCTCCTTGTTGGCAATAAGCACCTGCTGCTTGCTGACTTCCTCGACCGTTGTTTCAAGAACAACTTCAATGCCTTGTGTTTCCAAGAACTCCCGTGCAGCTTGCTGAAGGCTCTCTCCAAAGTCAGGAAGTAGAGTCTTTCCTCGATGGATGAGAATTATACGAACCAAGGGCGCCAGCTTGGGGTAAAAGCGGCGAAGGTCGTTCCGCACGAAATCAGACAGCTCGCCACAGAACTCGCAGCCGGTGGGGCCGCCGCCGACCACAGTGAAAGTCAAAAGCCGTCGACGCTCCTCTGCAAACACTCTTTGCCTGCGTGGCCCCTAGCTGCAGCAACCGATCCTTCATTGCTAAAAGGTTCGGGCTGCCACAGAAGCAGCACAGCACACAGCAATGCAACGCTGAACGAACCGCTAAACAGCTCGTGAATCTGTTCAAGGCCGTCCTTTCCCTCTTTGGAAAGCCTTGGGGACGTCTGTCCCCCCTGAACGCCCTCCTGGCCATCCTTTCCTTCCTAATAGGGCCTTCCAGTTTATGCACCCCCACAGTAAACGCATCCTATTCGGGACATGGCGGCTGGCCTTTTGTATCAACTCAACTGGCTTCTTAGCAACGCCTTCACGATTATGGAAAGACGATGCAAGACGACTATACAAGTCCCCAACGCCGTGTAGCTCGCAAACACGGCGGAGATAGACGAGAAGCAGAATTCTGTCACGATGTGCGTAACTGTATTCGTTCTTCCGGCCACCGGCTACGTGGGTTGTGGCTGTGTTCCCGCGCGTGGGCGTGCACGGCACTTGTGGCTGCTTGCGCGATTGTTTTCTGTGCTACTTCCGTACAAGTCAATACTGTGTATACTTCACACTTCTTTCGTATTACGATATGTGTGCATTCTGGCTCACAGCGAGTTCCAAGCCAGCACTCCTCGTCTGACTTGCCAGGGAGATCGGCCGCCTCAAAGTTCAAAGTGACTCGTTTTCGCAATCGGCGAGCATCGTCAATGTTCTTTAAGAAGAAGCAATGCTCATCCACACCTGGAAGGACATCGTCAGGCTTGGTGATTCAACAGCCTGCGAGCTGTTGCTTGAGAACCCTTCGTCACCTCAAGCTTCATTCTGATCCCTTGATATGGCTTTTTCCTTGCCAGTAGAAGACCCTCACAAGCTATCTATATGCCGCACGGGCATGTTTTGATGAGTAGACCCCTTGGAAAGATTCGGGTCTCTGAATGTCTAGCTCGCAGCGATTGTGCCTCACAGGATCAATATGCCGCACTGGCATGTTTTGATGAGCAGAGCCGTCGGAAAGAATCGCATCTCTGAATGTCTAGCTTGCAGCGATTCTGACCATTTAGTGGAAACATTATGGAAAGCCCGCCATGGTGACTCATTCAAGCAAGTCGTCGCAGAAGCACCGAAGTTCTAAAGATCCTTTCCTTGCCCCCAGCAAGTGTTCACATGCCTGGCACTCCCAGGGAGCTGGGCCGAAGCCCAACAGCAACCACCAGAACCTTGGCTGCAGAGTCTGCTGGCGGGGGCGTGTTTAAAATGGCACCACGCGCCGGCTACATTTGTAGCGATGTTTGCTCTAGATTTGCCCCGAACATAAGGACGGTCACGATGCTTCTATGTAATAACAGCCGAGCAAGCCTTAAGTACTAAGTACAACAACAAGCGTTCGACGGCACGAAGAGTGCCTTGGCTCAAGAATCCTTTCATCACACAGCTCTTCTGTTTCGCACCGCGAAGCATCATAGGGTAGCTTGAATTCCTGCTCGGAGCCGTCTGGTATTGGTTTCACCACGATTTGCTTCGCCTCCACGTCCACGCTCTTGCAGGTGCCTGCGGGCGTTTGAAAGAAGAATGGTCTCTGTGACATCATAAAGCCTTCGAACAGAGGCGGAACTTAGGCCGACAGAGCATTATCGACTTAAGAAAATAGCACCTCGGGTCTTACCTGTCTTGTGTACCTGTGTTTGGTCTGGCAAGTCTGCCGTCCATCGGTCCTTGGCAATACTCAATGGTTGGATTGGAGCTGCGTATATGTTCCAGAATCGAGCGATACTCGACTGTGCCCACAGATGCGGCAGCAAGCATGGGTGTAAAGATGAAGTAGTTCCGTGGGGATACTACCGTTACATCGACTTTGCTAACATCAATAATTTTTGCTATGGCATGGGCTGCCCAGCCAGTGCCCAGCACCACCACTCTGGTCCTTCTCTCCGCTACCGACGCGCCCGGTGCCCCCGATTGGCCAGAAAGCCATGCTGGAAGCCGGACCACATGCAAGAGGGCATCTTCGAATGTATTGCCGACTTCATCGATGGCCTGGGAGATGTCATCAGTGAGGGCTTTACGGCGTGTTTTGGAGCAGCGCCGAGGAAGGCTTCGCAGTTTCCGCAGTTCACATACGCCCACCGACAGTGCCGTCACAAGAATGGTCCCGGCTCCGTGTGAGGAGACCGGTCTAGCAGCATGTGCGGCTGGTACACGAGAACCGTAAGCAGGCCAAGAGGTTGCAGGCGAACGCTGGACTCTGGGTGCGACAAAGCCCAAATTCATCTGACCACCGCGGGGCTGGAGCAACAAGTGTTTGACTGCTTGAGGCTTGCAGCCTGCATCTTGAGCCAACAGCAGCACTTCATCCACGATAGAAGCTTTCGCTGTTTCAGCGATGCTGTGCTGTAGATTTGAGAAATGCCGCAGCAAATGCTTATGGAGGAACTGTCATGTCTGCAAAAAAGTCCAAATCTTGTTCAGGCTGCTGAGAACGCCCCGGACTTTTTTCGCACCCAGTATAGGCCGCTTTCTGGCGCATGATTGCGCAGCAAGGACCCGATCTAGTCGACGAGTCTGCAACAAAACACTCAGCTCCTCAGTTCTGAGGACCGATTCTTGGAGTTTCCGAAAATTGGGGACCCTGATACGGTACCCTAAATAGTAGGATCCTTATTCTCAGGACCCCAAAATAAGGTACCCCCCATTTTTGCAAACTCCCATTTTTGGAGTAGCAATTTTCGAGCAAGGCAGAATCAGCACCAATGACGCAAGCGCGGGTAGGACCATAAGATGAGATCGCTCGGAGCCGAACTCGATGTAGTTTCTACACCTCTCCATGACTGCTTCGCAGCAGCTTGGTTTTGTGAAATTGGGCTAGTGTTTCCGATGTCGCTTCATGATGGCGCCGTCTGTCTCGCAGGAAACTAATGGTGAGACAAAGACTTCCGAATGGGGGTGATCTGAAACGACCGGTCCCTCGAGAAGCACGGACCACCCAAAAAGGAGAAAGATCCAGGGTTGTACATGCCTGTGTTGGTTGTGCTATGCTATGCGTGGCCATATTCTGCCATACCTTGTGACTGAGACTGAATGTTCCAATCCAGCGTCACCTCCTGTGAGCAGGCACTTGTGGACGACCGAGCGCTCAGAAAACTCAGAATTTGAGCCACTCCGGTTGCGCGGTTTCCACTGAAACAGCTACTCCGAGGAACCTGAGGCATGCTGGAGAAGTAAGCTTGGGCATAAAGTAAGCACTTGGCTCGCGTCTCGTTCTTACGTCGAGGAAGTGCGTGCAGTGGTGCTGAACTGTCGCAGAAGCCGAGGCCAAGACGCCAAATACCTGGGGAACATAGCTTTCAGAGCTTGGCAAATCTGCGTCTGACAGATGGCTTGCTGGCATTGCCACCATGACTAGCGAAGGCACCAAAAGAAATATTCTCTCCCTACAGTTCCATCTTTAGTTCTTCCATCTTGACAGATCCTCACAAGCTGAGCATGTCAGAGCCCTTGTAACTCTTCGAAGTCCGAGTCGCAAGATAGCCATGATAAGGCCCAGAGGACGATTCAGCTTCCATCCAAGGCAATGGATGCTAACAACGACCGCCAAGACCATGAACAGCAACCTCG